CGAACGGTAGTGAAGAAGGCGAAAGGAAGAGATGGCGTCCAGCGGCGGTTTTTAACTGACAACAGGAAGGCGAATCGGCAGGCCATGATTACTTATTTGTGGAGATCGTGCCCAAGTGTCGTGCGGAACCCAAGGAACGGCCCGGATCCCCGCTGGAGCGTCCACGTGGACTTTGCAAACTCCCCACTCCTCCGTTTGGCCCAGCTGAGCACTGAGGAGTTGGGGGGCTTATGATGGGCCGATATCCAGAGGACGGCCCAAATGAACCATTTAAACAGCTTCGGGTCAAGCACCTGTGGAATACTCAAGCTGGGCCGGCCCAAGGAGCTGGGCCTAGTTAACCTCAGGCCAAGCGCAGCTGGCAGAGTCAGTCCGGAGAAGGAGACGGAGCTGATTGGCCGTTACGGAGCCGGAAAAAGGGGATCGCGCCCTTGCACGGGCTAAACTCCATCGGTTACGCTTCACCTTAATTGTTGAGAGCTCGTGTATAAATAGAAGGGACCCGAAAGGGGAGAAATCAAGCTAAATCAAGCTAGTAATACACATCCAATTCTCGAATTCTTGTTCTTAATTTTGTTCTTGCGATCCGCTCTGTAAATCGGATCATTCGGTGGATTTATTGTCCATCACTATCATTTTGTATTAATTTCTATCGATGCAAAACATGATATATGGGGAGTATGGGTACTTGATAGTTGATGTACACCATATAGTGTGTATGTAAGTAGCTTTTTATAGTTAATTTGAAATTACTCCTCTGTTTAAAAAATGGGATGGGGAAACAGACTGAGAAAGAGAGAGTGGGTGTAGGCGCGAGTCGGGACAGTTTGGGTTTTATGCTGTCTCGCATTTTGTCCCGTTTTTTCAAACGGTTTAGATTGGTTTCACAAATTTATTTCTCTTTGTTTCTTAATATTCAGGATCAAGATAAAACCGGATGGTTCGGGTTAGGGGTGGGCGTGAAATCCGTTCCCGTTGAACCGTTCCGAAAAATCCTGGATGCGTTTTGTAATTCTACCAATATATTGGGACACATTTTTCTTATCCCGGACCCGTTCCGTCCCAATATCAAGTGAGACATGAGCAGGAAAACTTAAATTTATACTGATCCGTCCCGTATGTCCCGTTTCATCTACTCTACTAATATATAATACTAATTCTAGCCCAAAATCTAAATACACTCATTCTTTAATTAATTAGTTATTTAATTAAATTAACTTCATATGATTGAAATTTATTCGAACCCGTTCCACTCATTGTTTTTTGTTGGATGGCTAAATGTTTCTTTTTTTGAATGAAATATCACTCCCCCCTTCTTATATTTGCAATTAGGACAAAGTAGGACGACCCGAATCTGTCCTGGTTTATTCTGATCTAGAACTTTATGGGACAAACCAAGATAAGATTGTAATCCAAACTGTTCCGGATCTTTTATATATAACAGGACAAGACGTGTGACAACCAAAACCCGGACCGTCCTCATCCGTGCCCACCCCTAGTACGGGTTGTCTTACTTTGTCATATAAGAAATTAGATATAAAAATATAAAATATATGGGGGAGGCAACCCACTTTGACTTAAAAAGTAATGAAAAATGATATATTTATTTAAAATGTTTAAAAAAATCCAAAACAATAAGAAAATATGAAAATATGTTACGCCATACATCAAAAGTCGGGGCTATAATCTTCATAAAAATTATGAGCCACAAATTAGGGTGCGTCGGGTTAGAACGTTTGGATTTTTAGGTGTTCTCACCTTAGTCCATTTTTATAGAATATTAGAATATAGATATTTTATATATTTATTTTGGGAAAACAAAAAATTGTGTTATATCAATAATATCATTATATAAATAAATAAATACATATATACATGTTTACGAGATAATGTGATGTAACGGAAAAAAATTTATGTGTACTGTCCCATTTTAAAATCGTTAGAAATGGATTTGGGACAAAATTTTATATCCATAACAAAACGGAAAATTATAGGAACAAGATCAAAATATTTCGGACTGGTACACCTGGTTTCAAGATCCTTGCGTGAGGGATCTGAAGTCTCATTATGTGCAAAAGCCCAGCCCAATCTCCACATTATATCCACAATAAAATCATCCCCGTGCAAACCCTACTTTCATAGCGGCTCAGAATCCGAACTCGCGGCTTCCTTCTTCATCCCCGTGCAAACCCTAGCGGCCTCCCAGGCAGAAGCCGACCTCGCAGCGCTCTCTCAGCCACCATGGGACGCGTTCGCACGAAGACAGTGAAGAAGTCCTCCCGCCAAGTGATCGAGCGCTACTACTCGCGCTTCACCCTCGACTTCCACACCAACAAGAAGGTTCTGGAAGAGGTGGCCATCATCCCGTCGAAGCGCCTCCGCAACAAGATCGCCGGATTCTCGACGCATCTCATGAAGCGGATCCAGAAAGGGCCCGTTCGAGGCATCTCGCTCAAGCTCCAGGAGGAGGAGAGGGAGCGCCGCATGGACTTCGTCCCCGAGCAGTCTGCCATTAACACTGACGTCATTCAGGTTGACAAGGAGACCATGGATCTCCTCACTTCTTTGGGCATAGCCGATCTTCCAGGAGTGGTGCAGAGGGTGGAGGAGACCGCCCCTGTTGCAGCCGTCGACACTGCAATTGCCGGCGGCCGCGGTGGATTTGGAGCTGGCCGCCCTGGATTTGGTCGTGGTGGATTTGGGGGTGCTGGCGGTGACCGGTACTGAAATGCTTCTGTTTCTATTGAGTATTAATTGTTCTAGTCTACACAACACCTCGTGAATGTTTTAATTTGTGCTACTTATTTAAAGGTTTGAGCCTTTTTATATTTTTCATGTTTGCACTCTGATAAGTTTTTGTCTGGTTTTGAGATTATTAGCATTTCTCTGTTTCTCTATTTTTCTTTTCTTGAACTAATCTCTGTGGTTTTGAGTGCTGATCTCAAAACAAAACTAATTTCTACAAAAAAAGCCTTATTTTGCTCTAAGAATTATTTGAATTTTAGCTTTGTCATCTTCAGAGTATGAAATGTTTTGGAACTTAATTTGGTCTTCAAAATGCACTGTATATTTTGGGTAAACTCAAATGTGTTTCTGTTACTGACTATGTATTGGAAATGGATCCAATTCAACTCACATGTTATATAGACATAAAATGAGAGCAATATGACATTTGCATTATTATGCTTGTGTTTCACTTTCATTTTGGGTCAATGCAGAGTTTTTGTGTACAAAATGGTGTATTGTGGTGTGCAAGTAGCACAACCCTAATGACTTCAATAACAAAACTGAAATGTTGCTTTGCTATATGACTTTCCATATTTCCCATGTAAAGTGCATCTATATTGTGCTACAAGATGAATACCCGTGTAGTATTGGCCTATTGGGTATCTTTCAAAACCATCCATGGCCTAGAACATTTTACGGGTTTTACCTGCCTTACCTTTCTATACAGAAATATAGAGAAAAACACTTTCTCTTTACTTGATTATCTAAGAGTAAATTCTATAATTAGTCTTTTATAATACGATGTTTTTCATATTTAATTTTCTATTATTAAATATTACGGTCCTTTTTAAAGGTATTTTTCTATAAATAGTCTTTTTATGATTTTTGTCTTGTGTTATTTTGAGGGTTAAAAGTTTATCTTTCTTGTAATACCTAAAATAGAGGTCGTTGTTGACATGTTACTCAATTGGAATTGTATACAACTATATGTATATAGCCGAAATCTTAGTCTATAGTCTCATTATTGTTTTGTTGTCTGCGAAGCTGACGTTGAAATACGTTGCTGAACATATGATTTATGTAAAATTATATTTTTTGCCTTGAAATTAATTTCAATGCAAAAGAAAGTAAAAAAGACTATTTGTAGGAAAGTATCCATAAAAAAGACCAGCATCCCAATAGTTGATAGTAGAAGAAGACCAATTATAGAATCTAAAAAAGGCCATTGTTATTGTAAATAATTATTTTTACATACAAGCTTATGAAAAATGTAAAAATTTACATTTTAAATACTCCCTCCGTCCTGGAGTTTTCATCCACTTTTGACTTTTGGGATTGTTTATCTAAGTATTTTGACTCATCAAATTCTCTCAATGTGTAAACCTAAATATAGTCATGTGATCTTGTTTGATTTGTCTTAACATGTAGATTATTAATATATAATTTTTATAATTTTTTAATATACATATTACAAGATAAAATAGATTAAAGAAGTGTATTGTATGGTGTGTAAAAATGAAAGTCGACAAATATTCTGGAACGGAAGTAGTATGAATTTTGAGATCATGTAAGCATCACTCAATATCTAAAGCATCTTGAAATGGAGAGCTATAATTTGAAAGGTAAATGTTATGGAGTTTTAGTTTATCAACAGTGTTATAGCAATCCTTTTTTATAAGAACTTCAATGATACCCCTCCCCTAAATTGATTATCTTTATGTGAGTGTTTTTCACGCAAATGAACTGGTCGAAATTATTTATTAGCTATTGTTTATAAATTGACTTATAGTTGTTTATAAAGCAGAAAAAATAGGTTTTTATTTAAGTTAGTTTTTTTTTGTTTTTCTGTTTTGACTAGATTATTTACTAAACAATCTTTACCATTTATAAATATTCTCTAATGACTTACCATCATTTGAATCATTTTACTTCTAGAATAAGTCAAATAAGCACAATCACAGAGAAACACTTCTTATTTCTTTTTAGCTATCTTAATTTAATCTTCATCTTTTTTTATGGAATGCTTTTTGTTACTCATTTTTTTCTTTTCTTTGTATTAGTTTTAACTATATAATTTCATGTTTCTTAAATTCTGTAGAAAATTAAACTAGGAGGATTAATTTGGGAAGAAAGGAATATCATTTGTCGCTTTTCACAATGCATTACTATTATAAAATCAAAACTATATAAAGAGCAATTATAGGGTCATTTCCCTGTTTGTGTAAATACCTCGCATCTCGTTCCTTTATATGTAAATTGAAATAGCACTTTAAATTGAAATACCTCGCATCTCAACGAGCAATCCTAGTAAAACTTCAACATCTTGTAGCGTAATTCCCACCTCTCCAAAGGGGAGATGGAATGAATGGGTCTCGGGTCTCCATCTCTCCACTAAAGAAGTAATCAGAGCCCAATCTAACTGTAATCCACCTACCTTTTCCACCCCATAAAATCCATAATCCCGTAAGATCTCTATGACACGAGGTGGTCTATTAGCAACAAGAGTCCTCGGATATATACTAGAACAAGTCCTATGACACTTTAGACTCTTTTTGGCATAATCTTCGTCCGCCCATACTGCATCACACCTATGTACTCCGCCTTCAAGAACTAAAACGTCTCGTGAAATAGGTCCCGGGTGAACATCCATTTGCTTCAAATATTACAGAATAACAATTTTTTCATTTAATAACAACTCATTTGTTTCAAAGATAACAACATAAGAATTAATTCATTTAATACAAGCACACAAGTAGGCAATTATAAAAAAAAACTCACGAAGTAACTAATTATGTTAAAAATTATGGAGTATCTTAGAATGTCAAAATTTAAAAATTACCAAATTTTTATTAATATATATCAATTACAACAAATAAATTCACCCAACTTGGTAATTCTATATAATTTATGTAATTTTATAAAACAATATATATATATATATATATATATATATATATATATATATAACTAAAAAATAAAAAAATACCTCCATGAAACGGATTAGCCTAATCCTATTTGCCCTAGTGGCCGGCGGTGCCTAGAGCCTAAGAGGGCCGCCAACAGGGAGAGAAGAGAGCGAGCCGCGGGAGAAGAGAGGGCCGCCAGGGAAGAGAGCAAGCGTCGAGGAGAGAGCGAGTCGCCTACCTTACCCACCTGCCTTCTTCCTTACCCTTCCCATAGGCTAACCTCTGCCTCATCGGATTAGGCAAAGAGAAATTAAAGTAACCAAACGGAGTTTCGGGGTTTAATTTTTTTTTAAAATAAGCTGAACGGATTACGCTACTCCGTTTGATAAAAATTTTCGAGTAGAAATGGATTAGCCAAATCCGTAGTGCACTGACAGGAAAAAAACTTCTGACTTACACTGCCAGGAATGATTTTTTTCTTTTCTACATATGTTGGTAATTTCCTCGCAATTATAAGCTAAAAATGGAAGTATACTCTAGGAAATGACAGCAAGTATATAGGGAGCAATTCTATAACAACAATTTATGGGAAATGACAGCAAGTACAGAGGATCCTCTTTTCAACAGAGAAGGATAGAAAACTAGGTCTGCCATCCATAGAGAACAAGTGCAAAACAAAAAAACAACAAGCAATTTACTCCAAACGACTGAAAAATAAAAAATGGGGACCACTCAAAGATGTGGGAGAAGGTTTCAACGGAAAAGAAAAAGAGAAACGATGGAGTAGAAATACTTTATCAGATCACATGAGCAGACGAAATTTGATGGAAGGAGTTGGACAGGTTGAACTCGGCTCTGTCTTTGTGTAGCTGCTGTTGAAGAAGCCGAACGAGCAGAGGCAGAAAAGTTAGAATGAATAAGAATTGTAATTGACATCAATGAGTTCAATAGTGCGGACTACGAAGTGTACGCTCGTTCAATGATATTACAAAGTTTGTATGCAATGATAGCCTCCTTTACCGTAGTTCAAGGGGTGAATGTAATTTTATCTATGGCACCCTTTGTAGAACGACACGTTACATTCGAATGTTTGATTTCAAATATTCAAATGTTTCGCGATAAGATGCTAGAGTTTGCACAAAACTGTAAAAATAATTGTTTGTATGATAGCCACTACATAATTAAAAATGTTTGAGTGCAGTATGGTTGTTATTCAAAAATTTATGTTGTTTGATAAATGTGTACCATTATCCCATATGTTCAAAACAGACATCGTTGCCCCATGAATCTAATATTCTTATGACAATGGGCCTCTAGACTAAAACACCTTTCAATTACTCCCTTGTCCCTTAAACTCTTTCCCCTTTGTTTTTTTCTTGTCCCACTAACTCATTCCCTTATCTATTAAAAAACTATTTGTATCCCCTAGTTTTTCATACCCTACCTAGCACATCATACCTTTTTACTAATAATCTATTCATTACATCTTACTTTTAAATATCAAATCAAGGGTATTTTTGGAAAAGTCAACACCAAAATATCCGTCCCTTAATCCCGAAAACGTCAATAAGGAAACGACATTAAGGGACGGAGGGAGTATTAGATAATAGCTCCGGTGCTCCTGATTGTTTTGGAAATGTGCACCAACGTCTCCTCTCTATTTTTCTTTATTTTTTTTCTTTTATTTTTCACAAAGAGAAGAAAAATGTTTGTGTTAAAAATAATAAAAAAATCATTTTTTTAAAGTGTTTAAACATGTGCACCACGGAGAGTAACGGTCCACATTTAGTACATCACAAGGGGTATTGATGCATGAAACTCTAAATATGCCCCATGTATGCTTTGAAAGGACGAAACTTCTATACCTATTCTAAATTACTTTTTTCTTATTTTATTGAAATATTTTGGTATACATCAAAAAACTTAAATCTGAAAGCATTTGTACGCAATTCGCTTAATTAGTCTATCAAATCATTCTTCATGCTCTTCGTATACAACATTTCTAACATTGCACTATTGTCTCTCTTGAATTGCAAAATTCTTTTTACATTTCATCCTTCAAAAATTATAAAATATAGCAACTCATGAAGGCGACACCTCCACGAATCAAACCATGTTGGCCCTCGGAAACTCGAAGTACGAAAGTTTCAAAATTGGCCAACATGAGTCAATCCAAGATGCCAATAGAAGGTTCAATGAAATAATCAACAAGTTGGGTAAGAAATATTCTACAAGTGAACTAAATACTAAAATTTTACTTTCTTTGCCAAAAGAATGACATAGTAGTATTGTAGATCTTTTACCCAAATGTGCAACGGAAAGCACAACCCACATTTGGTCTTCTTTGTATTCTCACGAGCTTTTGATGATTAAGATGAAAGAAGAAGATTTGAGAGAAGTGATAGAATTTGGAATGGGTATGGACAACTCGATTGGGTAATAAGACACTTGGGTTGAACCACATTAAAAGATTGAATCCAATCGATTAGTTAGTTCAACTCAAGAGCTTATATATCGGTTTATTTTCTCTTCAAGTTTCGATGTGGGATACTCTTTAACACTCCCCCTCAAGTGGACAACCGGGCCATTTTGAATCTAACCGGTTGACCACTTGCAAATGGACTCCCATACCCTTGATTTTTTTTGAGCGCCAACACCTAAAGGACCACGAGTCGCTGGGTATGGACTTCCAGACGAGCAATCGTGTTAAACGGGCCACAGGCCGTTGGATACATACTCCATACGGACAACTGGGCTAAAGACAAACGGGCCGCTAGGAATGAACGTCTAGACGGACACCTTGACAAACGAGGTGGGCCAAAACCTTCTCTGATACCATGATAGAATTTGGAATGGGTATGGACAACTCGATTGGGTAATAAGACACTTGGGTTGAACCACATTAAAAGATTGAATCCAATCGATTAGTTAGTTCAACTCAAGAGCTTATATACCGGTTTATTTTCTCTTCAAGTTTCGATGTGGGATACTCTTTAACATTAAAAGATTGAATCCAATCGATTAGTTAGTTCAACTCAAGAGCTTATATACCGGTTTATTTTCTCTTCAAGTTTCGATGTGGGATACTCTTTAACAAGAAGACCCAAAACGAACCAATGCGTTCAAGGCATCCAAGGAGGAGTCTAGTGATGACTCAAGTGACTCAAATGATGAGTCAAGTGAGACGGATGAAACATCCAAGGACTCTAATTCGTCAAGTGATGAAGAAGACGAAGAAAGAGTAATGAGGAAGAAATACAAGAGTTTTCTCGAATGGAAATTTTTTGAAGACTCAAGACGGAGAAAATCAAAAGAGAAAGAAGTATATTCAAAGCCGAAGAAAGTGCGGCATAAGCCAAGGTAAGATCTTCTTGCTTATTCGGATAAGATATTTTGTTTGGTTTTAATTATTTTCAAAAATAAAACCATATCCCATACGTGCTTTTATTTGCTTTAGCCTTGGTTTTCATGATTAATTTTTTAAAAAAAAAATCATCTTTAAATCATGCATTTTAGAAAATAATCCCCAAAAATCCCTGAAAAAATTAAAGTTTTTAAACTTGCATCATTTTAGGGGGAGTTTTCATTTTTAGGGGAAGTTTCGTTGTAAATTCACCTTTTGCTCAATGATCTCAAAACTATCATTTTTCCTAAAAAAAATTCATTTTGATAGGGGGAGAGTTTCAAGAAGTTATACATGGTTAAAATTTTCAAAATGCCCTTTTTTGTTTTGACAAAAGGGGGAGAAGATGTATACTTCAAAGTGGTGCTTATGCAACCTAAACTTGAGTGCATTCTTGTGTAACTAATTGCAACAAACTTAAACTTTTATAAAAACAAGAAAAAGTTCAAAGTGATTATTTTCAATATGATTATTCTTAGGGAGAGCTTACTTGCTTCATTATTTTACTCCCACCTAACTCACTTTGAAGTATATTGTTTGTCAACATCAAAAAGGGGGAGATTGTTAGCCTTGGTTTGCTAAGCCTCATGTTTTGATGTTAACAAACAATATAAGAGCTTAACGTTTGTTTAAGTGTTTCAGGTACAATAAGAATTCATTAAGATTCGTTACTTAAGAATGAAGTCGAAACACTAAACTATCATAGAATATAGGTAGAAACGAGTGTAAGGATATGACTTTATATACTTATATTCACAAGTTCAAAAGCACTCACAAAATATGTTTAAAACCATCCCATAAACATTTTCAAATATCTAAAAGGTTTTAAACTCAAACACGAAGGATTAAAGAAATTTTGGAAAAAAAGGACAGTGGCACGGTACTCCAAATGGTACCCTATACCGCTTACACGGTAGGGTATACCGCCGGCAACGGTACCTGGGTACCGTCGGTAGGGAAGAACGGTCGGCCAATCCCGTCCTATCCAGGTACCACTAGAGCCGAATTGGTTTTCTAAGGCACACGGTACCGAGGTACCGCCACTCACGGTACCCCCTACTACGCACGGTACGCTGCTACCGTGAGACAGTACCGGCCTACCGTGTCCGTTGGGTTACTGTTCCTGATTTGCAATTTTTAATTAAATCAACCCTAATCACCTCCCAACGGCTAATTAACACCTTCCACGATAAATACAAGCCTAATCCTTCATATTTCTTCAAGAAACAAAGCTCCAAACTGTTGTATTTAGGTGCCCTAGCGGCAATCAAATACCTATGTAACTGTAAACTTTATCATGAATGAAAGGCCTTGAAGTATGTTTTATATCTCGTGTAACATAACATAACTTCAGTCCATAGACGATAGCGCTTCAGTAACATAGATGAGGACTACGATGTTCTGATTATGAGACTGTTACTTCTTGACGAAGACTATGTCTAGAATATCCCTAGTCGCACTTTAAGATAATACGGACGTCATAACGTATCAAGACTAGTACGTACGAGATGAGATAGGTGCGTCTCATAGACTATAAGTATTGTGATATCTTAATCTGTACGTAGGTGCATATTATCTTGATAATATGTGACTGGATTGACCCATCTTGAGAATACTGCATGGATCTACAGTAATGTGTTTATCAGTATTCTCAAATCGACCTTGCTATAACTATCCTCAAACTTGAAGTTATTACATTCTCTGATATGTGGGGCCGTATGCTTTGATTCATAACTAATGCTATCTGAAATACTGGTAGACGTACAGTTCTGCGTTGGGTATGCCGCTAAGCATATTTATAGATGTGAATAACAGAAACAGGATCTGTCCCTTCTACTGTATAGAAGTTTAATGTCAATGGGCCCACTGAATAGTAGGACTTGGGAAAGTGCATGGCCATGCCTTGTGTTAAATCATGACATACAGGGCAGAAAGATAATAGTTATAGAACGTCTTGTGTCGTAGAAGGTATTGATGAGATGAACGTCTTTTTCATAATCTGGGGATAATAATGTGTTGCTAGATACCGCTTATTATCTATGGTATTAATAATATAATTATAGTAACGGTCACAATACCTATGGATTTCCCAGTGTGTGAATCCTGAACATTCCCTCATCATATGATCACTAGTGGGAGTAATATTAAATATATAGTTGTGATAATTTTATATATATATGTATTTCGAAAAATACATATGTATTTTAAAATTATATTTTGTTTGTGTCATTTTAATTATATGATAATTACATTTTGACAAAACAAATTTTATTATATATATATATATATATATATATATATATATATATATATATATATATATAGCGCCGATATATATATATATATTACTTTTATTTTCATCATTTTAATTATATGATAATTATTGATGTCAAAATAAAATATGATATATTATAAATTGAAATGGCCGAAAATTTCAAGAGAAAGATACAAAACATATTTTGATTT